CCTTATGGGTTTACTCCAAACCTTATGGGTTTACCTTTAATGTATTGCTTGAAGTAATGATGACCGTAAAATCGAATTATTCTTTCATCAATAGATAGATGATTGTCAAAAATTCCCCATTTCTGAAAGTTTGCGTTCATTTCTGTAATTAATTTTCGAATTTTAAAAGCTCTGTCATTTGTTTGGAACTTAGCTTCATAATTATCAGCAAAAGGAATCATAGATTTCATTTCTAAGTATCTGTTTCTAGTCATTGACTTTTTTGCTACAGGAACCCTTAAATCTTCTTCATCTGACCAATAGTCACGTTCACTTGATAGTGTATGATATCTAGAGAAGATCAAAAAACCGATAAATGTTTTTTGTTCTTCAGTTGTTAAGGAAAAATCTGGATTGTTTTTCCATTGTTTGGCATATTTCTCTGTTTCTGTTAAAATATGCTCTAAATATGTCGGAGACAAAAATTCTTCAAAAACTTCTACGGGCGATAGACCCTCTAAGATGCTTACAGTTTTATCAAAGTTTATTTTTGAAAAATTACTTTTATCAGAAAAATTATAGTTTGACGGAACTTTTTTCCAATCTGCTATTAACTCTTTTTTACCTTTCTTACGTGTATTTGATCCTGATTCCGAGAAATTTCGCTTTTTACTTTTGCTTCATAAATCTTTCTCTCTATGATCATCATAGTTTTCATAAGGCATAGAAATTTCAATACTACCTATAACGTCTCTTACAGATGGGTCAAGAGTTTCAGTGTCATCAAGACCTTCATCTGTTAATTCATTTACTCCAGGTGGCAAAGCAATCATTTCGGACTCTAATTCCTCCGAAAATAGATATTCTACAGCTTCCTCGGCGGTTTTAAAAACTTTTTTTCGTGACATCTTGAGCACTTATGAAATAAACTAAATATCAGAAAATTTAACGAATCTGTCCAGCGTCCTATTTTTAGGACAGTATTTTAAATTTGTAATTAAAAGTAATAAAAGTAAAAATAATTTTAAAATGTTATAAGATATCTGTTAATAGAATATCTGAAATATAAATTCTGAAAAAAATATTTAAACGTACCTTAAAATAAGCTCAGTAACCTCTTCGTACGATTACAATGAAATTCAGCAAGAAAAAATCATGAAAATGGCGAAGTTTACGTGTCTGCAGCTGGCTAAAAAATGCTTCAATCCGGTTCAAAACGGTTTAAGTAAGTAGGGTGAAACCATTACTTTTCAGGGGGTAGAAAAAGAATAGGCGGAACATTGAATAGCTTTATTTATAATGGTGAAAATGAACTGTCCTATAACTATGACGCTGGGCAGAAATTGGTTAACACATACTGTTCATTCACTGGGAAATCTATGCCCAGTAAAGGAACATGCCTGTTCCTTCACTGGTTAGAAGTTGTTTTTTGTTTTTTAACATATTTTTGATGCATAACATCACTAAAGGTACAAGAAAATTAAAGTTTTTCTTTCATTTTCATTAACTTAGAAAAAAAAAAACCAGTAAAGGAACACTTGTTCCTTCACTGGTTTTTCATCACTTGGTAACCCAGTAAATAAACACCCTCTTATCTCAGTACCAGTTTTAAACAGTTTCAAAATCGTAAAGATAAAAAATGCTCTTCCCTCTAACTTTACGATTAATCGGATGGGAAGACTGCTGCTGGCTATTTTTGCATAGTTTTAGAATAAAAACTCTAACCGTGAAAAAATAAAGTTTAATAATTGTTCATTAATTTTTGAAAATTAATGAAGGAGAAATATTTTTTTTAAAAATAACAAAAGATTGCGTTTTCTTTGTTAAGAAAAAAATTTAAATATTAATGCCACAATTCAAATGTTGTTAACACATGTCTACATTAACTAAAAAATTTATTCCAAAAATTTCTATCATTTGTATGATTCGTAATCATTTATCATCTGAGTTAACATCTGAATTCAAAAGATATTCTACGTAAAAAAATGTTTCTGTTCTGCAATTAATATTAAAAAAATTTCCTTCTTAACATTTAGAAGCAGCGATTATTTGTTTGCTACCAAACAAATGGCGTGAATTTTTTGGTGAATTACAATACTAGAAAAGACAATCTAAAATAAACTTTACAGTTCCTATTATCACACATTTAGTTAGAAATACTAAACTGAAATGCAAATCTAACCAAAGAAATGGTTTTTATGCCATACCATTACCAAATTTTTCCACACTTACTAAATGTTATCACATATTATAAAACCATATTTTACTGTTGATTTTAACAAAATCATGACCAAAGTGCTTCGGTAAAAATTACCGAGCTTTCTGGTGTTCCCATAAAGCCAGAAAGACGGTAAATTTTACCATATTCCGATGGTTTTGACAATGCTTTTTTTCTCTGTGTAGGATAAAAAAATATTTTATGAATTAATAATATTTCTCTTAATACTACTCTGATTGAATACTTACTGTTGCAAATTTATCAAATCATTTTTTTAATCTAAAGAATTGCTGAAACAAGATCTTGTCGATTTTAACCGTAATATACTTTTATTTGTTGGATAAAATTAGTTCCTCGCAGTAATGAACTTTTGAAGTACTACGGTTAGAAAGAAAACCCCTCTAATAACTCCCAAGGAAAAGATAAATTCCTTGATTGAAGATTCTAGTGATTCATGATAATTTCTTATTTGATCTAATTACTTTGAACAACTCCGATTTTCTGATTAACCACCAAAGGAAAAGAATAAATCTGAGTTATGAAAGTGTTGTGCGAATAATTAAATTATACAAATGCGGAATATTGATAATTAATCGTTCATATAAGCTTTTTATTTATCTCTTAAATTGCTTGATATTTTATATACACTGATAGAAAAAATGGTTGAATAACAATTTATTTAATTGTTATCTTACCGTATCCAAACAAAACAGTGAAATAACCATAAATAAGATGGTAATCAAACTGTTAAATGTGAGGAAAACCGTTTAGTAACTGTTTTTACCTAATGTGGTTAAGCAACCGGAACTTTATCGTACCAACTAAGCCCACCTAATGCAGCTACTGTTTCTTCCACCTGCTTACATATTATAACCGAGAGGGCTATTCTGTCAGTCTCAAGACAGATGGAACTGGGGTTCGAGCCAAAGCGTTGACACTAAAATATTTCCAACATTCTCTTCAACACATGAAGAATTTCCTGTGCCTTGCACTTTCCAATGCCCATTACCTAGCGAAAAGCTTAGCTTATATGTCTAGGTAATTTTTTTGATGGTTTTGAAACCATGATAGTTGTAAATGGTTAGAAACAGTACAGTTTTCGTGTTTTTATAACCATACCTGTCGTAGACGGTTTTAAAACAGTAAAGGTAAAAAAAAATTCTTTAACGTAAAGTTTACGGTTAAACGGATGGACAGCTGCTGGTTATTTTACCGTAATTTTAGAAAGAAAGGTCTAACCGTGCAATATTTGGTATATATAGAATAATTTAAAACTATCTTAGCAAAACACTTTCCTTTCGACGAAATTGCTGTTGGAAAGAATGAAACCAAATTTTATATTAAGGTAGGTCAGTGTTTCCCAAACTTATGACTTTTGTGTACCCTTTCTAAATTTTTCGTCTGTGTACCACTAATAAAAAAATGAATGTATTTTTAACTATAAAAAAAAATGCACAAAAGTGTAAAACCACAACTGGCTGTTGACACCACTAATTATTAACTGTTAACTCTGCAAAAAAATAGCCAATAGAAAAATACGTTCATGGCTAGCTTTGTTTTTCGATAAAATTTTTTGAAACTTTCGTTTGTTGCAAGATATTTCGCATAAAAACGCGTACCCCCACTAAACTGTTCTCGTACCCCTGGGGGTACGCGTACCACACTTTGGGAAACACTGAGGTAGGTAATATGAAATGTGCGCTCAATACTAGAATTAAAAAAGGTTATACAGTTTTCAAAATTATAAAAAAACAAATGCTCGAAATTTTTAAATATCTACTCCTGGATACTTTTATTCATCAAAATGCGTTCCCCATAAAAGAAAATTAAAATAGATTTTGAAGAATATTGTTAGTATAAAAATGGCAGTACTAGGTAGGCAGGAATAAAAAAAGTATTTCAATAATTTTATGAATTGAAATACTTTTTTTATTCCTGCCTACCTAGGTCTACTCATGGCGTTGTCAACGACTCAGGTCTACTCATGGCGTTGTGTATATTATTGATTCATATATTTTTTATATTTGTTTATTTGAAGCAATTTTAATTAGTTAGAAAACTACAAAGCCCTAAATTGAAAAGGAAAAATGAGCTATTTTTGGATAATTACCCTAGCAATCTTGGCCCCAGTTGAGCTCAAAATTTGCTCAATATAGATCCTATATGAACATGCTCTGAGGGACCTATATTGGGATGTCCAGATTTCTTAATATTGCAGTGTCAGTATCCGCCTATATAGGGTCAATATGAAAATATTTAGGAAAATATTTACCCCGACCTGCCCCAATTCAGGGCATACGGGTAAATGTTTATTAAAACCAAGTAAAAACAGAAAAGAACATAAAAAGTAAAAAGTGCATAAAATACAAGAGTCATATGCCAACAGCTGGGAGGGCCACCATATAGTGCTTAAAGCCGACGGCCCACTTTTATACTGAGCCAAATTACAATAGTATTGAAGACCCCAACAAAGTTACAGAGAATACAGTATGTGTTACAATACATAATTAGTAGTTACAAGATATAAACATCTAAAATAAAACAAGACAGTTAAAAATATGAATACAATAAAAAAAAAACTTTCTTCTCTTTTCCTTTCCCGTCCATTTTTGTTGATAAAAGCGCTAAAAGCGAATATACAAGTGAGTAAAAACATCAAGATGAATTAAAATTAGAGTTGAGGTGATAGAACAGAAGACCAACGGAGTCCCCCAGGATGCTCTAGTTTGAAAAATATAAAAGGGGAATGACGCGTTAAAATAGAAGTGGATTGGCAGTTCAGGTATTGAGGGGAGACATCAAGTCAACCTAAGTGTATAGGGTCCATCGGATCGTCCATTGTAATGGTATCTTCTAGTGTGCTTTTAATAATTTCTCTAATGATTTGTTGCTGTTGTTTTGTTCTGCACCACTTTTCGATTGGTTCCCTGATTTTAATATGATTCCCCCGGAGTGTCGAAAATTTAGGACATTCTGCAATTAGATGTTGAACCGTTTGGCTTTTGCCGCAGTATTTCCAGCTAGATGATTTCTGAAAAAATCTCGATTGGTGTTCTCCGAACACTCCGTGGGCGGTATAGAATTGGTTTACGTAAAAGTCAAAATTTAAAAGTTTATCGCTGACTTTTGGAAAAAACTTGTTGGTATGTCTCCCGTTTGATGAACGGTCCCACCTTTCTTGCCATAAATCTCTGCTGACCTGCCGTAGTTTATAATTAAGCTGTGGTCTTGTAATAGAGTAGTAAAAATCTACTCCACTGAGCAGAGTGCCCGCTTTTGCTAGAGCATCCGCTTCCTCATTTCCAGCTTCCCCCGAGTGAGCCTTGATCCAGTTGAACCGGTAATTCCTGTGTTGAATAATACCCTTAATGTTTTCGACTATAATGTCCCTTGGTGTGGGATTCTCTAGGGCCTGTAATGAGGATTTGGAGTCCGAAAAAAGTACTAACTCTTGTATATCTGCCTCAATTGCCCAAGAAACAGCCAGGTAGATGGCGGTCAGCTCAGCCGGGTATATACTTGATTCGTCATTTATTCTGACAGACTGTTGGTGTATAGTTTCGCCGTTAAGTTTGACCAAGAAGCCACTACCAACTTTGTATTCATATTCGTTGGTTTCGTTGTTAATTACCTGCCTTCTGCTTCCGTCCGTGTATATTTCGTACCCTGTTCCGCTTGGCCCGCTGTATCCCGTATTAATAATCCTTAATTGAGTTGGGTCGTAAGTACAATTTGGGGGCGGGGAATATTCGTTCAGGTATTTAATCTGGTAATCGTTATCGAAGGTATCCTGATTATTGTTATTCCAAAATTGTTGCTTAATTGCGATGGATTGTCTAATTGTTAGGTCAATTGGTGTAATACCTGCGAGGATTTGCAGTGCCTCCGTACTAGTGGTGAAGTAACATTTAGTGATGTTTAACAGGGGAATTCTTTGGATGGAAATAAGTTTCTGATTAAGCTTAACTTTATTTGCATACCAGACGGAGGCACCGTATATAATCTTTTTCTCGATAGCTTGTTTGTAGATGAGTTTAAGAATTGCTGGGTTTAAGCCCCATGTTGCTCTACTGTATTGCTTGATTTTATCATAAAAGACGATGATCTCATTCTTTAGGTTCTTAAGGTGTGGGATCCAGCTCAGCCGAGGGTCCAGGGTGATCCCGAGGTACTTAAGAGTCTTAACATTTTTAATATATGCGCTGTTCGTGCCCTCCATTTTTATGCACGGGAGTCTACGGACACATTTTGTGCCCTTGGGAAACGTAATTGCAAAGGTTTTTTCTGGTGCGAGTGCTAATTTGTGGCTCTTGGCCCAGTCTGTCAGGTTCTCAATAATAGTAGAGGCCTGTTTATCTAGTTGATAGAGTATTGAGTTTTTAGTTAAGAGAAAGATATCGTCGGCAAATGCCAGCAGTTTGCTATTGCTAAAATTAAAGTTAGTTAAAAGCGAATTGATGAGGATGAGCCAAAGAACTGGTCCTAAAGACGAGCCCTGGGGAACTCCAATATTGGTTGAAGATATGATGGTGGTATCATTAAAATTAAAACCAACAGAGCGATGGTGTAAAAAGTCATAAACAATTGCCAGTAGTGAGTCGCTAAGATTAAGATTGTTCAACTCCCGCTTCAAAATGTACCAATTTGCTGAATTAAATGCGTTTTTAATATCCATGGCTATGCCCACGGTATGACAACCCTCCAGTTTTGATTGCTTAACATAGTCCACTAATGTTCTCAGTGCGTCTTCGGTTCCCCTGCCTCTCCTGAAGCCATATTGATCACTATGGATTACATTATTGATTTCTAAGTGGTAGGTCAGTCTTTGCGTAATGAGTTTATCCAGGATCTTGCCCAAGGTAGAGAGCGGGGAAATTGGGCGGTAGTTTTGTGGCCGGGTATGATCTTTCCCAGGTTTTGGGATTAAGCAGATCAATGCAATCTTCCAGCTATCCGGGAAGGCTCCATATTGCAGACATTTAGTTAAGGACCCCTTTAAACCAAGTCTTGTTACAATAATAGAGATCCTTAAAGACTTCTGAGGGGATCCCATCTGGACCAGGAGCCTTGTTTGTTTTCATATTTCTCACAACGTGTTCCACTTCAGCAGTTGTGAAGTGTTGAACCGGGATGTTTTTAATGTTAGGTTGGATGTCAGGGTGATTTACATTTGGAAAGTGGTGGTCCAAAATATTTTTAATTGAGTCTCTATAGTTAGTGGTGGGGGTTCCATCCTGTTTAACAGTGAGGTTGTTAATCTGCTTTCTTATATCGATACTTTTACTGCATTTATATGGCTTTCCAAAGGCGGAGTTCATAGTGAGGTTGCTCAGGTACTGTTTGATACCTTCTCTTTTATGATACCGAATCATTTTGCGGTATTTTGCCAGATTATGGTTGTATTCCGCTCTATATTTGGTCCTCTCAAGGTTGTCAGTTTGTCGTTGGAATCTCCTGCGCAAAGCCCGAACTTTCTTCCTCATAATAGTAAGGGTTGGTGTCCACCATGGTTTACTACCCTCCCCGCTATTATTCCTCTGTTTATATTTATGCTGCTTACAAGACTCGATAATTTGCACGGTGACCCTGTTTATAAAATCATTCAAGCTTTCCCTGTCGGTTATTAGGTTGGGATCATCAGAATCAGCAATGTAAGTCAGGTCGACTTTTAAATTAAGCCAGTTTAATCTATTATAATGAATGCGATTAGGTCTAGTAAAGTTTAGGTCAGGGGAAACAATAGGATCTGCTTTAAAGTTACACAAGATGAGTTCATGATCTGAGGCTGTAATGTGGTCCATCACTTGGTAATTAGTGAATTTAGCGTTGTTCGCGATCGCTAGATCTATCAAGCTTTTACTCTGTGCAGCAAAGTAAGTTGGCGGGCTATTGGGGTCGTTAAGAATAAAGAGGTCGAATTGATTTACGAACTGGATAATGGGTTCCGAGAGGTGTGTGATGGAGCCTCCCCAAATAGGACACTTGGCGTTGAAGTCCCCACATATGAGAAGGTTATAATTTGCGTACCGGGAAGCCATGGATTCAAGTTTAATCAAATATGGTTCAATGGCGTCACTGGGCGAAATATAAATAGATATAAAGATGTGTCGCTCAGATTGGTATGTGAAACCAACGGCCTGTAGACACTGTTCGCTAAGAATTATATAGTCGTCGAGGTCATGTCGACATACAAGAATAGCGGCTTTTGGCCTAGAGTTGGTCGCGTAGATCTTTAGTTTACTCGTAAAATCGGTTATAATACTCTGTTGGTTAAAATAAGGTTCATTTAAGCTAACCAGATCAAATTTTGAGTTTAAAATATCATGAGTAAGTTGAATGTTGACAGCCTTGGAGTGATGGAGATTGAGGTGTCCGTAATTTAAGTTCGATTGTTGTTTTGTCCCCATAGTTTGTTCGCTTGATTTGTGTTGCCCTGACCTGTTCTAATTGTTTGCATATCTTATCGAAGGGGCTGTGTGCTGTATTATAGTTTGTTTTGAATTTCTTGTTGGCTGCGATGCATAGTTTACAAGATTCTTGACCATTGCATTCCTTATCCTGGTGGCCGACGGTTGAGCAGGTTCTACAGACCTTATCTAGAGTACAGTTCGTTGCTATGTGTCCGAGCTCCGCACAATTAAAGCATTGCTTGATCTTAACGTGCTCCTGGAAGTTGTATCTCCTCCATCCTATGTTTATTTTGTCTAAGTTCATAAACTTCTTAAAGGCGTTCGGTTATACTTCGATAACCCAATTATTGCGGTCTCCACCTGCTCGCAAGGGGAATTTGATTTCGAAGTCTTCTCCATAAATAAGTTAATTCTGGTTTATGATAGCATCTGTGATGCTTTCTCTGTCCAGGTCTCCATCAACCCCGTATATCACTATTGATGGGTTCATCAGTTTTGGCTTCGATATATTGTACTGTTCGGTGACTTTGTTCAAATTCGTGTTCTAAAATCTGAAGTTCTCTGTCGCTTCCCGTCTGTATTAATATTCCCCCATCTTTAATTTTTGTCATTCGCTTTACGCCTATCTTCAGTTTGTTCGGGTCTAGCACGCTTACAACATCTGATTTTGTCTGTTCAGGCCTCGCATCTTTCGAGTTGGGTCTGATAATAGTGACATACTCCTTGGCTCTCACCTGCCTTGTAGCTAGTTGTGCCTGCTCTGGGGCTCTTTTCAGTGCTCCTGCGTAAGTTACCACAGTATCCTCCGCAGCTACTTCGATAGCATTTTCTGTAATGTCCAGCTGATCCGATGCCCTGTCCAGCTGATACTTCATTACGGCCAGATTTGAGACCTGCCTACTAATAAGTATCAATAGATCTGCTATCCCTCTCAAGATCTCTGCTCTATCCGCCTGACCTATCCTGCACGAACTCTTAAGTAAGGTTTGGAGTTAAGTAGGATTCTGTCTTGTATTACCATAGCGTCGGTCATGAAATGCACCTCGTGTGGGTTATCCTCAACTCCATTCTCCCGACTGACAACCATGTCCAGCCCGTCATCGTTAACCCGGACTGTTGGGTCTGTTGAAGACATCCCCACCAGTAACGGGAGGATGCTGGTTCGTTAACCAACAGTAATAGTTAAAAGAATCCCCAATTCAGCAAGAGCGAAAGCATAAATACTAAGTTAAAATGGTAATATCAGTGCAAAAATATATAACTAAAATGATCAAGATTAATCAAATTGCCAAAAAAAAATACAGGAACACCTAAAGCAGGGATGGGGAAACTACGGCCCGCGGGCCAACTGTGGCCCGCCGGTAGATTTTAACCGGCCCGCGGACAGAATTTTAACTAGCCGATCAGTGGCGAATATATCTACTTCGTTTAAAACTATTTTTTTTTATTTCTTTTTTAACAAAGTACTGATGACCTTTTCACTTTCTTTATTTTTGTTCTACAAAACATAAATTAATTAAAATAGTTAGCACAAACAGCTTTAACTGGTAAAATGTTGAAAGCAAAAGTTCTTTATAGAATAGCTGTAGATTAGCTCCAACTAGTATTTGTCTCTCTCGAGGAGCAGACATATGGAAACTAATATAGGTGAATTGTACTTCACATGAGGCTGACTACGCGTTTTAAGTTCCAACGAACGGATTTTTCTGCCGGCTCTAGTTCTAACATAATTTACTGCGTATAGAAAGGTTGCACACATGTAACGTCATTGCAAATAATGGTGAAATTATTAAATGTATTAAATGGCTACTGCCTTTTTGAGTTATTTGCAAACATTTTTTATCCCAAAATGGCAACTAAAAAATATTTAGAAAATGTTAAAGTCCAAAAAAAAAAAAAAATTTCCTTTCCCTTCCTTTTATTTCCCTTTTCTTCCCCTATCTTCCCTTTTTTTGTGGGAAAGGGAAAAGCCCAAACATTAAATGAAAAAAGTTTAAGTCCAAAACTAATAAAATAAAATACAATAATACAATCGATAACGGTAAAAGTTAAAATAATGGTAATGAATAAAAACGAGTAAATCGGTGTTATGACAGAGTACTTGAGGAAAGGTCTCTTAATCAGCCTCAAAAACGCAATACAGATATAGTTCCTTGAGAGCTTTGTTGTCGACTCCTCAAGAAATCAAAGAAAAGTCAATTTGTAGACATCCAGTCAATGCACGATATTGACATTAATCTGGTGGTAAGTTCAGATAAACTGTGGATCGACGATTTGGAGACGGTCCCCCAAAATTAGAACTACTCAATTTGGGGACGACCCCTTAAAAGATGAAGATACAACCGCAATTTGAAGCCAACTCCATATAACTTAAAAATCCGCAATTTGGAGACGGTCCCCAAAATATACAAAATTAGTCAATTTGGCAACAGTCCCTAAAAATCTTGAAAATCCTCAATTTGGGCACGACCCCCAAATCGATATCAACCAGGACAAAATGGCGAAATCACAAAAAAGTACACAAATCAACTGATATCAAGAGGGTGGATGTTGTCACTCACTTGTTTTACTGCGTAATCCATGTATTAGCACCGTACACAGTAGAATCGGTAACACAAAACTGGTAGAGGGCGATATTTGGTGACTGTTTAATAAGGTAAACAATCACCGAAACATCACAGCATTCTCAGTCGCCATCTTGACGGATATTGAACAAAAACTTCTAGCACACTAAATATAACACACTACACCACAACATTCATTACACGACACTATATCATCACAAATTAGAGAAATATCACAAAATATAATCGAAAATCACATTAATACCAAAAAATTTTACTTAAATATCACTTGTAAACAAAAACACGACCATCATTGGCATCCCTTATGTGCTTACCTCATATAGGGTCAATATGGGATCTTTATTGTCTGAATAATGATTATAAAATATAGGGTGAATCTGATAATTGTATATCGGACTGATATTGGTTGTAAAGTGGCAGTAAAATATTTTGTGAATCGGACTATTTTATATCGGGCCCATATTGGAAAATATCGGCCCTTCGAGCCCTCAATAGAGCCAAGGTTCATGAATTTTGGTCCAATGAGAGCCCAAGTTATTTTACTACTAGGGTATGATCATATTGCTGATAATAAAAAATCAACAATTATTTTGGGCAAAATTAGCTTCCAGAAAAAAAATATTAAAAATTTAACTTACATTGTTTAAACTTATGTTATATAACATTGCAAAAATTTCAAC